CGCAGCCCTCTGGAAACACATCGCTGCATTAAAATCTGATCAATTAAATTAGCGGGTCCCCACGCGTCCATCTGGAGGATGGAATTTCCAATTAAGGAGGCCTTGCAAGCCCCTGGTCACGCGCCGGCGTCCCTGCGGTCACCAGGCCACCGAGCCGGGAGGCGCCTCGGGAGCAGTGATTGTCCTTGTCCCTTTTGCTGGGCTTGTCCCTGTAACGGGATCACAAAGAGGCCAGAGGCCGGTGTGGGCCGCGGGTGACCGTGGAACGCCGGGGCTGCCGTCCCGGGATGCCGCGTGTTGCTCGGGTGCACGCAGCGCTTCCCAAGGCCGCTTCGCCCGTGTCCCACCTCTCTCCTCTCTTCCAGATCTGGGACACGGCCGGGCAGGAGCGTTTCCGCAGCGTCACGCACGCGTACTACCGCGACGCGCACGGTAAGGGCAGCGCCGCGGGCAGGGGCAGCGCCCGCGGCACCCCCAGCCGCAGCCCCCGCTCACAGGAGTCAGTTGCAAGCAGGGAGTTCCCTGCAGGAAGCAGCCGCAGTGACACGGAGTTTTTGCAGCCGGAGGTGCAAATCCTGCACCGCTGAGGAATGGTTTGTGATGGAGTGAAGTGAATGGGCTGCATTCTGCAGCGGGGACTTAGCAGGGCCTTGGCCCTGTCCTCACGTGTGGCCTTGTCTGTCAGGAGCGCAGTCACGAGCACGTAACGAGCGCTGACGACCCTTCCCTCTCTCCACAGCCTTGTTACTGCTCTACGATGTCACCAATAAGGCTTCGTTTGACAACATCCAGGTAGGTGCGGTGCCGCTCGGAGACCTGTGGGCTCTTTCCAGGCTCTTTCCAGGCTCTTTCCGGGCTCTTTCCGTGCTGTTTTGGGTCATTTTCCCGGTGAGGTGTTGCAGGTGGCTCATCCCATGTGGGATGGGTAAATCCCAGCACGGAGCAGGGGGTTTTGTAAAGGAAGTGCCCCAGGCCCCACGCCATGGGCTGCCCCGCGGGAGGAGCCCCTGGGCGCTCCAGGGAATGCAGCATTCCCAAAGCCGGGCTGCAAACACACGGAGCCAGCGGAGCCAGCGGAGCCAGCGCAGCAGCGGCCTGTGCAGCCCAGCGGGGCGGGGAGCAATTAGCCCTGAGTAAATGGGATGTAATTGCTCCCGCTGGGGACTCTGCGCGTCTCCCGCGAGCTGCCGCAGCCGGGCGCTCCCGGTGCAGATGTGGGGGACACAGGGTGGCCGGGGGGACATGCTGCCACCCGGGATATTTCCCAGTCGCTCCTTAGCTTGGGGGAACATGAGAGGAAGAGGCAAAGCCCTGGGGCAGGGATGGAGCCTGGCAGAGGTGCTGAGCACCTCCGCTGGGCGCGTTCCTATTTGCTCCCCGTGCCCAGGTAAATTGGGCACAGAGCCCCCCACATTGCCAGGTTATGCTGGGTTTTCCATGGAAGTTATCCCGTGCCTGGGAATGGGGTGGCTCCAGGAGCCGGCAGCCCCACACTGGCTTCCTCCCATGTGTTCCTCGCGGGCTGTCCCTGTCCCTGCTCTGTTGGTGTCTTCCTCGCGGGCTGTCGCTCACCCCGCTCCGTCGCTGGCTCCCGTCGCTCACCCCACTCCATTGGTGCCTTCCTCGCGGGCTGTTGCTCACCCGGCTCCGGGGGGTGGGAAGGCCCGGCGGGGGGCACGGCGGGCTCCGCTCGCCCATGCAGCCCGTGTCCCCGGCAGGCCTGGCTCACGGAGATCCACGAGTACGCGCAGCAGGACGTGGTGCTCATGCTGCTGGGCAACAAGGTGCGTGTGGCCGGCGGGAGCCCCGGGGATCCCCCTGCTCGGGAAGGCGCCGCGGGGCCCCTCTCCTTCCCGTGCGGAGCCTGCAGCCCCCGGCCGGGTGCGTTGGCCGGCGCTCCCGAGCAGCCGGGCTGAGCGGCAGGGACGCCGCCCACCCCACCGGGAATGTGCAATTGGAGTCCAAGCGCCCGGAATGGAGGCTCTTGCGCTCACCCAGATCTCGTGCCCTGCTGATCCCAGCTTAGCTCCGGTTTGTCCTTGTGGGAGCAGCTGCCGTACGGTGGCTTCCCCGCCCTGC